AATCTCCCATCTGGACTTGGGAGGGTCTAGCCCATACACTGTGCAGATGTTCCTGTACACAATGCCAGCTACTTGGTTGTGTCGTTCTTATAAAGTTATAAGAAGCCCCCAAAACAGAGTCCTTGAAGAATAAGAGCTGACAAGGGCCCCACTGCCAAACAAGATTATCAAGATCTGGGCCCCTAAGGAGCTAGCCCTAAGTTGTCATCTTCTCAGGGTTCCAAACAACTGGAATCTCTCCCTCACTTGCACATAATATTGACTGATGCTAACTTAGGATTGGCTGGACTTGCTATCTGTTTGCTTATTTATTTAAGAGTTGTTGAAACTTGGGCAACATACAAGTTTAATGTATTATTATTAGTAGTATTAGTATTAGTATTATTAAATATGCTCTGTGACCAGCTATTAGAAAAACAATTAAAAAGAAATAAAATACAATATAATAGTAATACAGTTAGAAATAAAATAAAAGCAAGAAAAGGAAAGGAAAGGAAAGGAAAGGAAAGGAAAGGAAAGGAAAGGAAAGGAAAGGAAAGGAAAGGAAAGGAAAGGAAAGGAAAAAGGGTAAAGCTAGAGAGTAAATATACCGGAATATACCGGAAATGCTGTGCTCAACACTTGTTGTGTGACAGACTGGGTTTATTGATCCTTTTGTTCCAAGCCTAGCTTTTGCTTGTCTAATATTTTGATCTTCGTTGGCTTCCCCACTTCTGATTTATTGATGATTATAACAACAACAACAAAAAAGGATGGGACTGTCAGCCCTACTAGACAGACCAGACCAAGAAATCAGCTCCACTCCAAAAAGGGTAAAACTCGTTTTATTGAGATTGGCTATAATAGCAGAATCTTGCATGTCTGATTGTGCTGTAACTCCTGCACCTTCTTATACTCCAGTGAATTAGAGAGGTGAGCTGCTTCTGATTGTTATCGCATCTCTTTGAACTTAAAAAAAAATGTTTCAGCCCCTTTCGTCTTTAATTTCCATCAAAGTCCTCCTCCTTACTCTCTACAATGACTGAACTGTGGACAGCCATCTGAAGAAAGCCAAGAACTGAGAGTGGGCAGCCAAGGATCAGAAGGTAGGAACCAAGAGCCAGGGGACAAAACAAGAACTGATTTGGTTTTGTTTCTTAAGGCTAAAGCAGGCAGCAGGACTTTTGAGCCCAGCTGGCAAAAGATTCCATTTTGAAAGGCAGCAAACGTTTAAAAAATAAAATAAAAGACAACACTAAAGGATACAGGAGCACACTAGAGTTCAGGAAAACCAGATTGCTCAAGCAAGGATGTATTAAAATAAGCCTTCCTGAAGTTCAGTTAAAATGGTCACTACCTGAATAAATCTGAAAACCATCCATAAAGTTGACAGGGCCATTCATACATTAGAAAGGTTTACATTCACTCATGCCTTCAACCCCATGTGGGGAAGGAACGTGGAGAGGTCTAAGGCCTGTGGCCTACTTCCATTATTAGCCACCATGCAGCAGGTTCATACTAACGTATTACAATTTAGGCACATGAAGAAACTGTTTGTATTTACCTCAATATTTTGAAAAAGCTCAAGCGTGTTTTTGTAATGCTTATTACTTCATGCTTTATATGTTTTTGCATGTTAAGATATTTAAAGATATTTCAGGTTTTGTATGCCGTCTGGAGTTTATTACATGGCAGTCCATGCATTAATGTTTAAACGAACAACATAAACATTTCAAACCATCATCAACTGGAGTGGGAAAAAAATTCCGGTTGTCCATGTGGGAACAGGCTCTGTAGAGGGTGGAGTATACAGGTGGTGCTTCTCCGTGTGAAAAGATGCTGGCCTGTGTTACGCTGAAAAGCTGCGTCTGTGTACATGACATGAGGAGAGAGCAACCACGTGTGCAGATGGCAACAAAGCACTCCCACCGTTGGCAATTAGAGAGGATGTGCTGCCACTGTACTTTGGCACCAGGGACACATATTGCTTATTTAAGCTCTTCACTCTCTCATGCGTGCTCAGAACAGGTGGGTGAGGAGCAGAGTAGGTTATGGGAGCATCTCTTGCGAGCCTTACGGAGGGAAGGATTTCAAATCCTGCTCAGGTTTCCCATTGCCCCAGGGCTTGGGTCTGATGGCAAGAAACCTAATGTTGGAGTGTTAGCAGCACTTGAATGACTGAAACTTGGTTGCCCCAAAGTACTTCTGTGCCAATGTTTCACATTCGCATGTGACTTTTCGAGTGAAAATTTTGGAAAGGTGCTTGGTTTCTAATTCAAATATCACCAGGGGCTTGTTATGCCTCATTCCTGCCCGTAAGTGCTGAATGATAACTGCAGAGATTAATGAAGTTCCAAGTTAATAATAGTGTGGAAATGGAAAACAAACAAACAGAAGGAAATCTGCACCATCAGGCTAGGAATTATAGCAGTTGATGTTCAACACATCTGGAAGGCATCAAGCTGGAGAATACTATTATAGCTAATCCTATTATTTGTCCCTGGCTGTACAGCAACTTGCAGTAGTGCTAGTTAAGTCCATCTATAGATCTTTTAGTCCAATCTGCCCATCTCCAAACCTGAAAAACACTGAGTTCTTACAAAATTGTCTTCTATTGATTGTTAATGAAAATGCATCCCTGTTACCTGAAATGTGGCAACACAGCAGTGTAGTTCTGCTCCCAACTGAAGAAAAGATAAAAGGTGGGGGGGTTAAATCTGTTTGCATTAGTCTCATGTTGTCTAGACCTGATGTTCACAAGCTGTTTAAACAGGATCTTAGCTGTGTGTGCTGAAAAGACAGCTGTGCAATTCTTCCATGCCTCTTGGAGGAGGAACATTAACCCATGGAATAAGGCTTGGCTCCACTAAGTCAGCCCTGCCTGCCCACCAACAGCCATGCCCCACCTCACTGTGTGCAACCGGCAGCTTAGCTGGACTCTGACACTGGTGCTAGGGTATCTCTTTTACCTCCTCCTGGGGGCCATGGTGTTCCAGCTGCTAGAAAAGCAGGCAGAAGCCCAGAGTCGAGACCAGTTCCAAATGGAGAAGCTCAAGTTTCTGCAGAACTATACGTGCCTGGATCGGCAAGCTCTGGAGCAGTTTGTGCAGGTAAGAACAGCCCTCCAGTTTTAGTGTCTCTCCACAAAGCCAATATTAACTTAGAACTGCATCTCTGGGATGGATGGCTAGTGTATAAAGAATCCTGGCTTGGACCTGGTCCATCATTCTAAAGAGTTTGTCTACCAAATCCATCCCCAGATGGTCAGAAAGTCAGAGAAACTCATATAGCAGCAAGTACTCATGCTGGGAAACCCCCTCTTTACTATTCATTCCTGACTGTCAGTATTTGTGGCTATTTTGTTTTCTCTCTCCATGTGGTCTGGTCAGAGCACCTACTCTCTGTTGAGAAATAATTCAGTCTTCATAGTACCTCCTTTTATCCAATGAAAATGCTACGAAAACAGAAGGACCTTTTATTATGGTAAGGCCTCCTCCTACAGTCTGATTGACTAAAGTGCTTATGTTTATGGACTTTTTCCTGGATGTATATTGCAATTTCCCTCGTTCCAATTTCAATTCTCCTTCCTTTTTTTCATCCCACCTGTGCCAAGCAATGCATGCATTTTTCTTGGGATTGCTATGGGGATGACGAGGAGGCCTGTGCTCTGCCAAGCTACTGCACCATTAATGAATATTTATACTTTATTTGGTTGTTAAACTGGGTTAGTGGCACATTATATCACTGATTAGTTCATTAAGCTCCATTCATTTATTCTATTTTAGATCTCCAGTCCTTTGGAGGTAGATTATTCCCCCATGAAACAGGGAGTGTTTGCAGGGAGTTTTTCTCTCTCCTTGGACTTGGAAAAAGTTGGGAAGCTGCTTCTGCTGTGTTCTTCCCACTGCCTCCCCCATGTGATTTCCCCCACAACATTGTAATTTTTGAGAGCTCAGCACACTCCTTTGTCTTAGTAGATTGTATTGTGGGGCGGCAGGAAGCATGTTTGTGTAAAGTATGCTAACAAGATTGTGATTATCCCTCTGGAAGAAATACAAATACAATACAAAATATTAACTCCCTTCGTCCGTTTTCTCTTGGGAAGATATTGCACTCCTATTCCTGCAGAAACAAACAAGCCACACTTACAACCCTCAAACAAAAACATGATGGCGGCAACACAGGTGTACCTGTGACAGCCCGCAAATGCCTGAAAAACGTTGACTGGACCTCATTACATTAGTGACATACATACATACTAAAAGGAAAGGGCATCATGGTTACCTGTCACTGCTTCTATTTCTGAATTTTTGGATCCTACCCACAGGCATGTACCCTGTAGGACAGGAAATAAACATCACACATCAAAAAGTCTAAATGCACTCTGTAGCTGGATGCACACATCTCACTCAGCCACAGCTTTATAGAGCAAGTTAGGGTGGCCTGCTTTATGCATGACTTTAAAACCCTGGTTTACAAACCACAATGCATGATGACAAAACCAAAGCAGACACATTATGGCTTACTAAGATGTGTGACCTTGATCTACACATGTAAGCATTGTTCACATATTCTGTTAACAGTGCATGAAACAGTAATGCAAAGGAAGCTTTTTCCTCCAACAGGTACACCCATAATCCTAATGCACCTCCATCTCCACCATTGTACAAGTCATAGCACGGGCACAGAGCTCCTGCCTTTCCAGTTTTGCCTTCCAGTTTAGTCACGAAAGGGCTTACAGGTTTCCATTTTCTTTTATCTGCAGCTACTGAGTTAAATCCGTGGGGGAACTGTCATCACCTTTGATCAGAAGCTCTAAATTGAACTGTTTAGCTGTTCTGTCTTCCAGTCAGGCTTCTACTAATCTCTGAACAACTCCATTCAGTGAAATCAATTAAGATAAAACTATAGGCATTAGAAATAAATGTTGTTTAATTAACAAAAAACATCAATAGAAAAATGCCAGCCCCAAATCCCGAAAGCTCTGGATATCCATCCCATAATCAGTTTTCCAGTACTTTACTGATACTAAGTGATGCAGAACATTTGTCTAGAGATGAGTGAATGTAAGGAAGATTTGCAGATAATATGGTAAATGTCACATGAAGTAAATAATTAAATCCTAGATGCAGTTTTAAAAATATAAATTTTGCCTTCATTTTTAAATATTCTGGTGGTTTCTGAGGAAAAAATGGCTTGACCCTTTAATATATATGAAAGTGTCATATTTTGTTTTCTTTGGCCCTTGCTTTAAACCATAAGTTTTGCATTTGACCAAAGTGCTAATTATTAATATTTCTCCAACACCAAGTTCTTAATGACAGCAGCTTCTCCTCCAGCATATTTATAACCAAACTATGTAGCTTGTCCTCTGAAAAACTGAGCATTTTGTTCTCCATAATATAAAGAGAAATTCAGAAAATTCCACACATTTGCTGCTGTTGTTAAAAGAAAACTCAATTTTCTGAGGTAAGCATGCTGCATTTGGGTGTATTATTGTCCCTGATCAATGCTGGTTGATACTATAGAAAAACACCAGAGGGCACCAACATTTCAGCTATAACGTAACAGTCTCCCTAAATATAATGCATTTGCCAAGTATCACCATTCCAATTTGAATCCTTCTTGTTATTATCTTTGGCTTATTATTATTGTACTTTGGCCAACACCCCTACTCAGTGTGGTCCTTTCTCTGCTTACACCAACCATTGCATCTGGGCTTATGTGCTAGGTTACCTTCTCAGCACCTAATTTCCAGTGAGATGTAACAAAGGGGTTTTGTAGGCTAGACCCCAAGATAGCATTGGAGGGTTTCATCACAAGCATCATAGAGAAGATCAAAACTGTAGCTAGCACAGTTCGCCCATGAAAGTACATTCAGACGCAACAGCAGGAAAATATTTTTTGTTGCAGTCAGTTTAAATGTCACAAAAGAATAAGTGAGTACTTTTGGCACAAACTTGATACAATCATCTTGCTAAGCCAATACCAAGCAAACACATTATGGCTTACCATAATTTGTAAACCAAGTGACTGTATTGTATGTATGTATGTATTAAATTTACTCAGCTTCTCATGGGAAGGCTAGAAAGGTTCCTGATCAATAATGGACCTTGTTTTCTCAGTGCTTTCTTTCAAGACTTCTAAATGTTTGTCTAAAAGTTACAACCCACACCCTTGAGCTTTCACTATAATCCAAGAATAAGGTGTGGATACACTAAAGTTTATTGCAGATATAATTGACCCTAATCATGATAAAAATCAATGTGTACAAAGTCTAAGAATCTCACTCTCCACATACCTACGTCCCAAGGGTTTAAACCCTGGGTTTCTCCTGCTTAATGTTGTAAGGGACTGGTAATCACTCCTTACTTAGACTTTTCTGTTACAGCCAGCTCTAAATTGTTTACAAATGACCCTTTTTGCAGTCACCTCATTTCCCACGATTCCAGTCTTTTCCTAAACCCTTTCTTTCATTATTCTGTATTAAACAGGTACTACATCCCTTCCATCAACCCATACAGTTTCAACCAATGTAGTTGATCCACAACTATCCAGACAGTTTCAAACTCCAGTGAAACGGCTCCCCTCCAGATCTTGCTATTACCTACTAAGGATAGTCGAATCTGCCACCTTTAATTCTTTTGAGTTTCTCATTTTTTTTATCTTGAATTCATTCCACATCAATTTGAGATTTAATTTAAAAATCCACATAACATTTGTATACATTTCACAAATATTTCTCCTAATAGACAAATTTCTCATAGTATAGTCTTTTAAAAAGGAATTTCCATTTGTGTATTTGTATGCATTCTCTACAATAAGAATTTTTGTGCACTTTCCCTTAATCTACTTATTTTTATCGATTAACCATTTGTAGATTAACACTTGATTTATCTTTTTTTTTTTTTTAAAGGTGCAAGCTATGTAGCAGAATTTGGGAGAAGAATTCAGATCTAAACCATTTTGCTTTCATTCATGTATACATTTGAGAAGTGTGAATTCTCCCCCAGCTCTAAATACAATTATCTTACAATGGTTCTCAATGAAAGAGTGTAGTGAGTTGCGTACAACTCTTAGTGCATCTAGCAGTCCTATTTCACTGGCAGAGTAACATGGACTCTCTCATCATTCCTACAAAAGAAACTAACAATAGTGAATATAGGGAACTGAATGCATTTTACTACTTAGTTGCTATAGTCTCCCAGTTTTAAACAATCCTTTTCTTCCCCTTCTTTTACAAATGTTTCCATGACAGATCATTATGGAAGCCTGGGAGAAAGGTGTCAACCCTGAAGGAAATTCAACCAATCCTAGCAATTGGGACTTTAGCAATAGTTTCTTCTTTGCCGGGACTGTGGTCACTACCATAGGTAAAGTGAGCTAGGTTTGTTTTTTTCCCTTGAGGATCTTTCTTCTTTAGGTTTCCACAACATTTGGGGGAAAAAGTTGAGCCACGTGTGACTGACGGTACAAAGCAGGTTGCAAATCTGTGTCAGAAGAGTTTCAGACTTTGAAATATATATTTTAAAAGCCATATATTCAACTCACACCCATTTTTAGGGGTTTTTTTTCTATAATTAATTGTCTTGAGTACAGAATATACAATATCAGTTGTTTATTTGAAAATCTGCTTTTGTATACTCAGGGAAATCAGAAAGTGCATGAATCAGCCAAAATTCAGTTTTAAAGTCCCCTTGGTTTTGTCAGGGGAAAAAGGCTGCTAAAATTTTCCTCTCACAGTTTCCATCACAGAATCAATAAAGATCCTGCAAGTGTTTAATTTTGGCTAGATCAAAATAGGATGAGTTATGAAATAACAAGCAGAATTCTATTAATAAAATAATATTATTTTTTCATATACATTGAGACTTATTAAGGGATTTGATTTCTTTTCTTTTTGCAGGTTATGGGAACTTGGCCCCCAGTACAGTGGCTGGACAGGTCTTCTGTGTATTTTATGCTTTGTTTGGGGTCCCTCTTAATTTGGCATTTCTCAATCAGTTGGGGAAAGGACTCAGCGCACACCTGATTGACCTGGACAGATGGGTCCACAAGCCAGGGCGAGCTCAGGTACAATTGCTCTTTTATTACTGTAACACATTACAGAGGTGATTTTCATGTATTCATAGGACACATGAGGGATCTTGGACAGTCCAGGGACATCAGGAGCCTTTATTGATTTGAACTTCTGAATAGTGACAGGTTATATCAAGTTATACATTGTTTCTGAAAGGTCCAGAAGACATAATCTGTTGAATGGAACTATGGAACTAAGATAAGTATCTTGGAAACTATGGAATGCTAAGATAAGTATCACATTGTGGAAATGGAGCCATTTTAAAGGGCTAAGTTGCAGCAATTGGGGATACAAGCAAGACTAGGAAACAGTACAGAAAACCTAGAAGGCCCAGAGTTCAATACAAGGAAGGAGGAATGTCACCATCTCTTTTGAACTCCTCCATCCCTCTTTTCCACTATTCTTTGCTCTTCAATGGTGCCTAACATTTAGTCCTGAATACCTGATAGATGTTTTCACACATAATTTTTAAAGAAGTATGTCTAATATAAATGATTTTCAGACATCTACACAGCCTTCTCTCTTCATACCACTTAACTCAAGTAATTGGGACTCAAAAGGTTTTGGGACATTTGAAAATAGCAGTCCAAAAATAACATTAAGAAAGAACTGTGCATAGGCTCATCTGTCATTTCACCTAAAACTCTGGAGATCAACAGATTTCTTACTTGTTCTAACTGACTTTATGGATATGACTATAGTTCTCTGAAGCCTGGGATTAGGCTCAAGAACTAGGTGTACACATGACTTTATCTCTGGGTTTTCAGGCACTCACAAGCAGCCAATTGTTTTGCTACTTCAGTTGTTCCAACATCTGATATGTTGGATGAGAACTTCTATAAACTAAATGTTGGAGGACTCCAGGTTGGAAAACTCTGTGCTACTTCCTAATACTTTCACATCTCAATGGGAGATCAGAGACAATAAAGTTATCCTACCTCTTAAGCTAATAGCCTGGAGTAGCTGGAGGCCATGGCAATTTGGCTAGTCAAATATGTGGTTGTTTCCCTGAACTTTAGCTTTCTATAGCCATATAATTACAAATATGGCAAAGCAGCATCATATTATTAAAGTTAGTGGATTATGGAGGAAGATAAACAGCTTTGACCAATCAAGGGCCTTGGTATAATTTGCTGGAGGCCATATGCAAGTAGGAGTCTGAAGCAAGCAGCTGACAAGGACATAGCCAGGAATACTGAAGGCCACCCATTCTGTCTCTTTCCTTAGCCTTGGTATCTGTTTCCATATCATTTCTTGGCTCTGAGCATATAATAATAGGCCCCTGAATTCTTGCTTTTGCAACAAAATGATTGCAACAGAGTAAGAGTATATAATATATGCTCAGATAATCACACAACTTCTGTTTCATAGCAGCTGAATGTATGGCTGTAGAAAATGGAACAAGGGAGCATATAAGCTTGAGGGTAGTCTATGAACCCCCCCACCCTCCCCCTGCCCCCCACATATAGAGATGTCAAAGAATTCCACCATGAATTTATCAGCAGCAAACCTGGACGTTCCACTCCCATCAAAAAAGGAGCCTCACCCGCACCCCAGCAGCCTCTGAAAAAAGGTTCTCTGTTGAAAATTGTGTCCAAATATTGATAATTACTTTTACATGAATAAGAGAATGATTTCATGCTTGCTGGGCAATTTACATGATGAATTACAGTACATAAATTAGGGCAAGATGCATACCAAAACTCCTTATGTTGCAAGATGTAAACATTATGAGGTTTATTATGATTTTTCTTAATACAGAAAGAAATGCTAGATCAGAAAACTGACCTACTAACACAGATAGGGTTTTTCATAAGTTACACATCTGCACAGAAGAGATCAGAGGACATGGGAGAGGCATCATGAATGTCCTGCTAATGAATGGTACAAAGCTTGGCTGAATTCCCAAACAGATGAAGACAGAATTATTACACAACTCTTTGGCCCTCTGCCTTTGATGTTAGGGATGTACTTGCCTGGGAAAATAGTCATATATAGCATTGTCTGCTAGGCTTAGTGTACATTTCAGCAAGACTAAATTTCATATTACATAATTTAAAAAATGTAGATGATTCATGGTATTTCCCTCTATAAAAATGCTTTCTATGTTTAAGGGCATAATTTAGAGGGAAGGGCAGTTTCCAGTATTTCCTTCAAACTGGATTTTCTTCTACTTTGATTTAGTAGAACAAAATTCCTAGCCAACCAGAATCATGGTAGGTAGAAATCTTGAATTTGTTGTTACCTTGTAGAAAGAGTGCTCAGAAGGAAAAGTAGACAGGGTTCCTGCACATTTAGCATTTGTACGGAAGAACAGTTTTCAGTGACTGTAGCTTTTTGGGAGGTAGAGTGGAGAATAATTTCCTCTTTTATGGAACTATCATAAAGAAACTGTATCCGAGAAGCTTTCTTTTGCGTCTAGTCACATAGCCACAATACTTACAAATCACAAATTTCATCCACATTTCCATGAAAACACCATAATCAGGGTGACTGACACTGGATGTAGCAGCAATCCTACTCATCAGTCTTGGCAACCTCATACACATACGATGCTTTCTGATGAGAGGCTGCCCACCAATCAATCAACCTTCTCTACTGCCAAGAATCTTTCCAAGCTGCTCCACAGTTCCCCTTGATTCCTAAATTTTGCTTTTCCGTTAATGACTGATGGACACTTTTCCTCACCCCCACCCCTTTGAACCAAAGAGTTATTTCAGGTTAGTGTCAATTCCATGTTCTGGCTTTAAAACCATCTCATTTGTTTTACTGTGTGATACAAACAGACTATGACCTGGGCTCCCTACACAGCTAGTGCATTAGGAATCTGTAGGGAAATAGCTACTATTGGGTAGACAGAGATGGAGAAAAGAAATCCACAGAAATGGGACCATTACTCATACATATTAAGGTTTGGGTTAATTTCTACACCAAAAGCCCTTGTCTGTTTGATTGTTTGTAACCTTCAACTGGGCGAAATGGTGCATCACAGGACAACCATTTTTGAACCAAGGAACCTCAAATGAATTAATTTACAGTATGCATCCAAAATATGGGATCCATTAGTCCTGTAGGACTGTAATTTGGCAAAGCTGTGGCTGTTTAAGCACTATGGCCACAGTCAGCCACATTCACGTGACCATCATTTCCAATGCTCCCTGCCAGCTTTCCATAGGGAAAGTCAATGGGGAAGCCAACAGAGAAGGTCGCAGTTCCTTTCCCAGGCCTCCTGCACTCGCACACATGCATGTGCCCTCCTTCTTGGGCCTCCCTGTGCTTGCACACAGATATCAGCACCCTCCTTGCCAGCCTTCCTGCATTTGCACGCACCCAGCGTCCTCTTCCCCCCACATGCACCGCAGCACCCTCCTCCTCTTCCCCCCTCATGCACGTGGATTGCCAGGGCCTTCCCCAGAGCCTTCCTGTGCTCGCATGCACCCCATACTCTCTTTTCCCACATGTACCACAGCACCCCCCTCCACCAACTTGCACATGGTCTGCCAGGGCTCCCCACCCCCCTGCAGCACACCTGCACTCCTTACCTGGGACTTCCTCCGCTCCCCCCCACCCTGTAGCACCCCCAGCACAGAGGTATCTGCACATCACACCAAGCCAAACTCAAGGGCAGAATACGAATATGATTTACAACACAAGCGAGTGTGTGCGTCAGAGAGAAAGGGAATGGCATTTAATGGCGTATACTACATATTTATAACAATGATTAAGAAAACAGAAATATTAAAACTGGAAAATTAATGTTTTAGCCTTCATGTTTTTCAGTTCTTCTGTAAACAGCAACTGTTTAACAATGATTAAGAAAACAGAAATATTAAAACTGGAAAATTAATGTTTTAGCCTTCATGTTTTTCAGTTCTTCTGTAAACAGCAACTGTTTAACAATGATTAAGAAAACAGAAATATTAAAACTGGAAAATTAATGTTTTAGCCTTCATGTTTTTCAGTTCTTCTGTAAACAGCAACTGTTTTTTCAGTAAGAGGAACTGAGAAAGGCAGAAATCAAACCATTTTTCTTTAAAAAGGGGTGTGTGGATTAAACCATTCTAGGAATTCTGTAAAAATTAGCATGAATGATAAAAATATTTTCAATAAGCTAGATAAATAAATATTCAGCAGTGGATTTCACTGAATTTGATGGAATTTATGGAAAAGTGGTTACAAGTTTATTAGACCATACAGATAGCGTTTGTAGGAACAATTTGTATGAATTCTAGCAGTTTATTTCTGCTATTCAGGATTTAAACTTTAAGTATAAAGAACATAGTTTTCAAATATGTCACTAATACTGTACCCCAAATCCTACATTCCAATCTGCAAGTTTAATATATTTTTTCTTCATTGAACTGATTATCAGATATGCTTCTAATATTTTAGAAGTCATTTAACAACTCTCTTTTTGGGAGGAATAAAACAGGATTTTTTTTTAACAAAAAGTTCCAATTCTACAATAGAATTTAATTAGAAACATTAGGCAAATTCCTACCTTTAGCTTTCTGGGGGTTTTCAATGTACACATTTAATTTTAACACAAATTAATAAAACACATAACATTTTAAAAACAATTTAAGATACCTACAGTATGTATATTTGCTTGTGGGTCCACACTTGCCATCTCAGTCTCTTCCTCTCACTTCAGCATCATGTTTAAAGTTTTGCCTGATCAACTATTCTGGATTGTGAGGCCATGATGAATCCAGGCCATACACCCACAGCACTTTCTACCTCTGTATGAAGATATAATCAGATATGCAGAAAAGACAAGTCGAAAGCTAGATGTGAAATATTTTGGAAATAAGCCAAGAAAGCAGGAGAGGGGATAGTTTTAATCAAAACTGCAATACTATATCAAGTTTAAAATCGAATAGCATTTTGTTTACAAAGGTCAAATCCATTTGTCCATTAAAAAAAAAATCCAAAGTACAAAAAAAATGCTAATAATTTAAGCATAGTTTATAATGATAAATGAGTACTTAAAAGTGTTAAGGCCCCTAATTTTCATGATAACTCTGTTTAGGTAAGGAAATGTCTCTGAAATGATGACCCAACAGGCTGCCGCGATCAGCCGCAATTACATGATTGTCATTTACAACGCTCCCTGATAGCTTCCCTCAAGAAAAGTCAATGGGGAAGCCATCAGGAAGTTGTAAGTCACTCATGCTCCCACTGCTTTTTTGCCCTTGGTCATTCTGTTTCTCTGTTTAGGTAAGGAAAGATAGCTTCCCTCAAGAAAAGTCAATGGGGAAGCCATCAGGAAGTTGTAAGTCACTCATGCTCCCACTGCTTTTTTGCCCTTGGTCATTCTGTTTCTCTGTTTAGGTAAGGAAAGATAGCTTCCCTCAAGAAAAGTCAATGGGGAAGCCATCAGGAAGTTGTAAGTCACTCATGCTCCCACTGCTTTTTTGCCCTTGGTCATTCTGTTTCTCTGTTTAGGTAAGGAAATATCTCTGAAACAATGACCCAATGGTCACAGGTTGTCTAATTATATATAGAAATCGAAGTATAATTTATGGAAAGGGAGTTGACATCTATTAATTCTCTCTGAAGACTACTTTCCCTCCTTTTTGTTCTGTAAGGTTAAAGGGTTGCAAATTCTGCTAATAATCCTAGAATCCTTCAGGGGTTACATCAGTAAGGTTGGTTCCCACAGGTGATCAGGCATCACCCCACACCTTTAAATTATTTCTTAGCCTACTCTTCCTCAAATAGAATGGATCACCAGTGTCAGAAATGTAACCAAATATATCCAATTGTGGCTCCTCCTTGGCTATCACTAAGCATCATGGCAAGAAGGAGAGTCAAGCAAATCTCCATTGTGATTTGGGGCTTTCATTTTTATCAATGTAATATTTTGTTACACTTATTTCTATTCTTTGATGACCAAATGAAAAAACAAATCCTGCATCCTGAAATGATAATAGACATGCCAACATTTTAAAATAACTATATAGGCCACATATGAGAGTATTTCACTGGATTTCACCCCTGGAACTCAGCTACATGCCATTAGGGACTAGTGAAAATAGCCTTCAGGTTTGCAACCACATCTTAGATGGAAGCATAGCACTACTGAACAGTCATTCCCATCCCTGTGTTTTTCAGGTGGTGCAGACATTAACAATGGTATTATTTCTGACGGCTGGGACTTTGCTGTTTCTGGTTTTTCCACCAATGATCTTCAGTTATGTTGAAGGCTGGAGTTACGGAGAAGGCTTCTACTTTACCTTTATTACCCTCAGCACCATTGGATTTGGAGATTATGTAGTAGGTAATGATAAGAATGGTACTTAAGTGTTGCAAGTAAGAGCACCCGCTACCCCAGACCACCATGTCAGTATTGATTAGAAGGAATTCTTGTGAAATCTGTGACACTTACCACAATGTGGCCAGGGCGTGTAAATTATAGAATGTAAATTATGTTTACAGTGTGCTTGTTCATTCACTCATTCAATCGGCTCTGTTAAGAGCCAAGGATCAACATTTTTCATTTTTTAAAAGAGACAGATTGAAAGAGAAATCAGAAAACTCAGGGGCACATGGCAAGGATCTCTGCTTGTAAAAAATTCAAACACATTTTAATTCGGCAGCATCACACAGTATTTTGGCAAATGTATTTCTGGTATCTGATGAGTTCTCATGTAATGAAACTGAGTTCTCATGAGATTTTAGCTTTTTAAAAACTTAATTCTCTTTTCTTTAAATGGAGGGTTCCCCATGGTGGGGGCCATGTTATCTACAAGCACTTCATTGACAGACTAGAATTTAAAGTATGCTCTTATTAAATCCTTTACCACCCATGATGGTAATGGGAAATGATACAATTAGCTAAAATTAATGGTAATTATTTGCAACTGGTGTTTATTGTGATAAGCCAGTAGTACACTTTATGTAGGATTGGATGGGCAGATGAAGCTCTTCTTCCCATTCTCCCAGTTATCTATAATCTACGTCTTCCAGTCTTAACAGGGGGAATTAATGTTAGAACCAATCATATCGAAGTGCCACTGTTCTCTTTCATACAAATGTATCTGGGATGCACATGAATGGAGTATCATATGTTTTTTCCTAGCATGTATGAATGGGATTCTGTAGGTTTCGTTTGCTTTGTTTGTATGTGTATTGAGCTTGGGATGTTTTCCTTTATCTCACTTCATATATAATGTTATTTATAAACTCTCTCTCTACCCCCCCCCTCTCTCTATATATATGTGTACACACACACATATTGTGTGTGTGTACACATATATATATAGAGAGAGAGAGAGAAGAGGGGGTAGAGAGAGAGTTTATAAATAACATTTGTTGAATAAGTCACCACTGGCTTGGTTCTTATATATTGCTAAGCCACAGACCGTAATTTACAAACTATAATGCCTGAATTCACATGTGTCAAGCTAAATGACCATACCTTGGCTTTATAGGTGATATTAATCTACCCAATGAGAAAGTTGTGCAAAACACTGTGCTCCAAACATGTCACACGTAAGAGTGCTTTAATGTGCTACATATAATATGGACAGTGTATTTTTAAAAGAACCAGACTCACATTAATTGACTGCAGCTGAATAAGAAATGAAAGCGTTACTGACAAGCATTTGTGGTTTCTTTGTTCCCTCTCTATAGATGCAGACTAAAATATCTGTTCTGAATTATATTTATTTTGGAGGGAAAGGAATCTATTCTCTGTTCCAGATAGATTTCCTGCAGTAAATCAAGCTCCAACTCACTGGGCAGATCAATTTTGCATTCATTTTCACCTGAAATTTGACATTACAATTCCCCCTGACATAAAAACAGTCAGCCACAAATTACACTTTATAGACATAAACAAGTTTTTTTTGAAATACATTCTTCATTTCCTCTTTTTCCCCAAGTCATACTTCCTGCATTTCTGGTTTGCATGATGCTGTACTAGCAAGATGTGAAACTATTCTGTAGACAAATGTTCTTCTCCACGCTAGTCTCTTCTTCCTTCAGCTCATGTGGGAGAGATATAATAATTCAATGGCAGCATTTCTGCAGAAGGTACCTTATCATCTCCCATTGACAGACGCAGAGGGCAGGGGAGTGCAGTATAGTATAGTTTTGGATTTGGACTGGAGAACTCCAGATTCAAGTCCTTCCAAGACTTTGCAGCTCACTGGGTGATTTCAGGCAAGTCACTCTCTTTCAACCATCCTACCTCACAGGGCGCTTGTGAGGATGAAATTAGGGGAGACCCTCATGTACCTTGATCTCTACCTTTATCCTTCAGAAAAAAAAGTAGGAGGTAAACACACTAAATACATTTCTTCCTGCCCAAGACCCTGAGGCATTGCAGTCAGTTGGACCAGGCAGTGCTAGAGTAGACAGAGTGAACTGAAGGGAGGAAGCTTCTGGTGCTGAGTTCATTAGAGTAAGAAGGTCCAAGGACAAAGAATTGCTATGCAGAAGGGTGGTTCTGTATAGACTGCACACATGCTGCCAGTGGCCACATTTAAGAGGTTAAGTAGCAGCCTAAGAAAATTGATAGAGGTTACAGGTCAAGATGCACATAGGAGGCAGATCACATGCATTTTTGAAAGGAAAACAACATGTCACATAGGCAATTCACCAAATCTATTCTATATGTGCAAAAGTAAAACAGTGGCCATGTTCTCACAATGTGACTGAATCATCCCCTTCCCCAGCCAACTGATTTACCTCTGTAGGCCAGCAGTTTATGAGAAAGTATGATTCAATCACCCTTTTTTTAATCCCTTCCACCTGCCACAAAAAAGCCTGGAACTTCTTCAAATTCCTGATTTCCCTCTCCAGGAATAAATTAATTTTTTCACCTCAGACTGAGAATAATGAACATTTCATAGATTTCTAATATGTGGACAAGTGGTCTGGTTACTGTGTCTATTCTTCATCTTACATCATACATACATGTGATAATGCAGCATATATATTTATTTGTCTGTGCGTGTGTATACATGTTCCAAACATGGTTCAGAAGAGGTATTTTGAATAAGTGGGAGTAGCATTTCTTTAAAGCAGCAGTATATTTTTCAGGCTTCCATGCAAACATGAAATAAGACTCAGCTGCTTTAATGCACTGACTCATTAAAACAGCAGTCTTTAATATGGATCATTGAAAGAGTTGCACCTTTTGTGGGCTCATGCTGAAGCCTGAAAAAATATGGTAGAGGAGCTGCATTCACTCAATTCCATTTCTGAAGCATGCTTGCATATATGTGCCCTGTATCCAGGCTATTAGAATACTTTTTCAGGTCACTGTCTAGGAGAAACTAAGCTTGCCTCTCCCTGTTTGTTTTCATAGGCACCGATCCTAGCAAGCACTATATTTCAGTGTACCGAAGCTTGGCAGCAATTTGGATTGTCTTTGGCTTAGCCTGGCTTGCTCTGATGTTCAACCTGGGAGCAGACCTAATGGAGAAATTCCTACAACTTAATTGGCAAAAGCCAGATCCAGAGACGGCAGAAGCAACGGTTTCCAAAGGAGAGGATAATCCTGATCAACCCAGGATCCATATTCCCAGCTGAGTGTACCTAGTGGATAGGCAGCTTAGAAGAACTTCTGTGTGCAGTCAAAGTTAGTGGGTATGATATACTGCCTTCTACCCACAATGACTGAGTAATTTCATAAAGGATAGAGGGACTTTTTTCCAAGAAGAAGTAAAACCTTTGTATAAAAAGCAACTGAATGAAAAGCATGAAGGAAAATGCACTGAGAGCATAATTACTACACATTTTCCATTCAACCAGTTATCTCCCACTGAACTAATTATTAGCAGGCCTATCAATACATCAGCTGGCTTATGGGCCTCTGGGTTCCAGAATAACTTTTTTTAATATTACTGGAAGAGATCAGGGTTTGTTTTTTTTCTTCCAAGTGAGCCCATCGTTTATCTCCACTTCCTGATTTCCCTTAAGCAAGTGTTAAACAGGTTTTTTGGCAGAAAAACGAACACATGTTACTAATTCCATCTGTGAAGGAAATTTCAAACAATGCGTAGTTGCAAACTACTGGATCTCAATGACAAGAGCTTTTCTTCTCCTATCCTTCTTCCATTATTAGACCATGAAAAGAAAAGAAAAGAAAAGAAAAGAAAAGAAAAGAAAAGAAAAGAAAAGAAAAGAAAAGAAAAGAAAACCTTAAACTTAGTTTCCTCAGTAATTCACTACAAAGGTTAGTAGACTCTGGTTAGTCCTTCCTCCAAGCTACTCAGTTCTCCTGAAATCTACACTGGACCTTTGAACATTCTCAGTGTTTTTTCCCTGAATATATCCCAAGGCAGAGATTTAAATTCTCAGAGTCCAGAATACCAATTTCAAAATGTAGATTGGCCTTGGTGCTTACTCTGGGGGAGAAGGAATACAATGCATGCAACTGGAAATGTCCAATTTAAATGTTCACATTATTATACTAAGCAGCTGAAGTGATTGGAGGAAAAATAGAATTAAACTACAATTTGTGCATCATCCAGAGCTGGGGTCCCAGGCATTCTGCTGCTTAGTCAGGTAGGTGCCCCCTCTCTATCCCATGTACTGATGCCAGCTGGACTAGCAGTTGAATATAATACAAATATCCTCCACCACATCAGAAGGAACATGTCTAGTTCAGGCAGTCCAGATCAGGTTGTGTGACAGAGCTCCATCCACCACTGCCTCCTGGTATCACCCACATGAAACAGACATTAATAGTAAAGTGCCCTGTTTTTCCTTCTTGTGTTACAAAAGGGTTACAAGAGGGTTAGAACCATCCTGATATGTTACATTTTGAACTGCACCATTAAGCATCATAGGATCATGCCATAGCTACAAGTGTACATTGCTGAATAAGAAAGGAAGGTAAAAGCCGGAAGAATGAGCTCACCTTGGTGGATTTCCTAGGTGGATTGAGTTAAATTGGCAGAATTTCCACAAGTACAAACGACTGGCTCTTCATGAAGAACAAAAACAAATGCTGCCAAGAGGTCTGGGATTTTGAAAAAGGTGGAACTTTCTCCATCTCTTTCCAAGCAAAGAACTTCAACACGTGCTGACAAGCAGGATCCAAGAAATTATAGAATACTCCTTGGAAGAGCTATGAATTATTGCTAGGCAGGTTGAGATGGCAAGCACTGACCAAGAATTAAGCTCAACTCTCGGACACCTAACGAATACAAACAGCAGCAGACATTTCTGTTAAATAAGGTCAGCATGGCAATCATTCTATTTAAAGAACCTTCCTTAAAAGTCACAATAAAATCAGGCACAAAAGAAGAGATTAAGGTTGTAACTCACTTCTTTTTCAAAGGCTCTTTCCTTAAAACTAATGGTGGTCAAATTTGCCCATTCAAGCAGGACAATGCTGAACCCCTGGAGCCTTTGGCTAAGCCACAGCCAGCCAACCTGTGACATTTCAGCTGATCTGTAGAAGAGTAACTTTTGATAACCTTGTCCTAACTCCATTTCAAGATAAGCAATGTGGAGCAGTATCTGGCCTTTACAACCTTAACATCTGATCTAAACATCTAATTCAGATGTACAAATGAAACTGTGAAATTAAACATGAAGGAGCTCTCATGAGGCTCATATGATCATTTCAATAATAATTACACGTTTATCATCACAGGAGACTTGTGGCCTATAGCTTAACGGTACTTTGTCCTAGATGCTTAAGGAGCGTTACAAATTTTAAAACAGTGATACATAACATGAGATTCCAAGGACGTATGTGGTGCTGAAAGCTACATGCAAAATGTCATTTTTAACATGTAAGAAGGGAAAATTATTTAGTATATAGTCAATTTAATGCAGGCATGGGCAACCTTTTTTGGCCTGGAGAGCACACTTGGTTTTTTCCCCTGTCTTGGTAGGACTTTGGCTCACAAAGTCTTGCCCAATTTGGGGCCCCCTGAGATTTGCCCGTGGGTTGTTAAAGGCTGCCCACTACTGATTTACTGTAACTATAAATAAATGTAAATATAAACTGTATTTATATTTTGGGGGGAAATGCAGCCCACAGCATATTATCCAAAGGCCAATGTGGCCCTTGGCCAGTAAAAAAAAGTTCTGTATCCCTGCTTTAAAACTACATTATGGAGCTCAAGGCATTCGTTTGTGGCTGTTACTTCTACAAGAAGGTCCTATCAGGTTGAGTAAAGAGTTGTGCTACTGCATCCAGTCTATTTTTGATCCCACATATTATGGCTTGTCATCAGCCATTTAGTAGCATACCAGATTCATTTAAGAATGTAAGAAGTGCTTTGTCAGACCAATGGCTAATCTGATCCAGGTTTCTTTGCCACATTTTTGCTAACCAGGCACTTTCTGAATGTCTATAAAATGGATGGGAGGGGGTAAGAACCCCCTTGAGCTGTTGCTCCCTAGAGACTGGTATAGTATTAATATGTTCAATCACATATTAAGATATTCTGTCTTGATACAGAGACAATATATAACACAAGATCAGTAGCCATTGACATACGCATTGCTTTTCACCAAATGTAGAAATCCATCACCACATTCTCATTCAGCTAGAGTATAATATTTTAGAGATGCTGAATATTATATATGATCTAATACCATGCAGAATATTCTTCTCAAAATATCTGTCATTGGTCTACAGAGGAAATAACAATATCTTCTTTGAAAGATACATTCCTTATCTTTTTTAAGACAGCTTACTACAAGCTCTGAACTCACTGAGCTATTCTCTTAGTACCAATAGATGAGAATATGTGTAGCTCAGGGTTGAACTGTGGAGTCCTTGGGATTCTCTGAGCCTGGCAGTTTTCTTGCAAATGTTTCATTACCCAGCCAGGTAACAACTTCTCTTAGTTACATAAGTCAACTGGATGTTATGAATGGTAATAATCCTGCATTGATTCTTCTTTTGTGGGATATTGTTGGATATTGCCATCATGGCTACTTTACAAAGCATGTGGAAAACAAGTAACCCCTCAGTCATCCTTTTCTACACACCTTATTTTGCAGTGTAAAGGATAAACAAAGAAACCGACTATGTGCAGTTTGAGGCTGGAAAGCTATGTTAACTAATTCTATAATAGTTCATTATAGTATCATTGCTGAAATTCTATATTTGCCATTAATTCTTTGAATTCTAGCCAATATCAGCAAAGTGGGATGGAGTTTCAATGTCAATATCCTCCTGTAGATTATGAAGACACCATAGTCTTCATGGAAAGCTCAGGGCAATTGTCTGGTTTACACATACTGCTAATTGATCATGACATTTGTTTTAAACTTAGTGCCATCTGTGAAGTACTTATTACAGCTTAATGTTATGCATGACCCATGCCACCATAGTTTCCTCAACTCACTATGTTTTATAAAAACTTGGCTTAGCATAATGTGTGAATGAAACCATCATTGCACAACAAGTTCACTTTCTAGTGTCCTACTCTTCTCCTTAAAAAATGGCTAATTCATATGATAATTTGAAGAGAGAAAAACACCATTTTGCCATTTTCAGGGGATTAAACTCATTTTAAGAAAGAACCACTCAGTAGGGAAACCTTTGGCTTAAAAGCCATCAACACTGTTAGAGAACCAGCTATTTTCAGTTTTGGCTTCTGGAGTACATCTGAAAGAGCTTCCTGCTCAGCAGATTAAGTTCTGGAAAACTGCCAGATCACCCCCAGAATAGCCATACTAAGATAGATGGTTTTCCAGAATGTCTTGTCCCCAGAAGGCTGGGTTTTGCCTACACTTAGCATTTTAGGATGTCCTCTACTAATTCTCCTTCTGGTAAATTGATTTTCATGACTAGCCATGGCCACCACATCAGCCATTTTATAAACAAATCTCTTATACCAGCCATTCTGGAAATTCACCCACATTTTCAAAATTGCAAATGTGCTCCAGCCCAAATTTTATATTACGGTTTATTATGTTATGACAACTGAGCCATTTTCAAAATAAGTCATAACTTAGTACAATATGCAGACCACGTCAAGAAGTTATGGCCATAGGAGAACAAGCCTTGGCCAAAAAAATCATTCTGGCTACCTTTCACTGTGGAAAAGCATATAGCATTGGAACTGTACCAGTACTTAGTTTTCAAAAGGAGAGGAGCTATGGCCTTGGCTGCTGTTTAAAATTCTTTATTCCTGTTTTCGTTCAGCATATTAACCAATGGTTAACTGAACCTTGGTTTCCTAAATTTAATCCATTTGTTTAAATTCAATCAACACACTGAGCTCTAAATGAACCATACTGGCTGGATTTGCATAATATATTTAACCACAAACTAGCCAACTATCTTTTAGCCTAGCGTGTTATGAAAGCTCAGATATCAGTGGCGACTAATACCCAAACTCATCTGCCTATCTTTAAGGGTCCTATATCTGGGCTGCAAGAATCTGGATGACTTTCCAACCAGAGTTGCAAAAAACGGTGGATTTGGTTCCACTTAGTGCTGACTGGATGTTCACATGCTCAGACTTCCTCTCTGCTCTCTCACTTTTTTTTTTTTTGGAGCCTTCAAGTCACTCGTGACTCCTGGCGACTGGTTTTTCAGAAGTGGTTTGCCGTTGCCTGCTTCCTAGGGCTGAGAGGTTACCCAAGGTAACCAGCTGGCTTCCTGCCAAAGGCGGGACTAAAACTCACGGTCTCCCAGTTTCTAACCTAGTGCCTTAACCACTACACCAAACTAGCTCCCATCCACATTTAAATCCAGCGCAAACCTACTAAACTAAATGATAAATTAAGTCCAGGTCAGCGCCTCCTCCGGGCGCAGCCTCTGCGCTCTTATAGGACTGACCCCTGTCAAACCTTGGCTCAGAAGTTCAAGCCCAAATGGTACGTTCAACAACAGGTGGTTGACTTAAGTCATGCCTAAAACGCCCCGCGCACAAGGACGCTCGTTCTCCCCGCTTAGCGGGGCGAGCGAAGGCTTCTACACACGCGAGACTCAGAAGGAAGCCGTGGGGTTGGCCGCTCAAACTGAACGGCTCGCTCTGTTGGGGAAAGCGCTCGGGGATGCCTGGCCCTCGGCCCCGCCCAGGGAGCGGAATCCGGGCGGACGAGCGCCGCTGCTCGGGTCCTCCTCCACAGCCTCGGCCCACGGGCAGAGCTTCCCCCGCGGCTGCTTCCTTCACCGCTCCTTCCCTGGCATCTTTGCACCACTTCCTCCTCCTCCTCCTCCTCCTCCTCCTCGGCCAGCTCGCCGCTGGCTAGACGATGGACGA